AAAACAACAGAAGAAATAAATGTAAGATGCTTTAGCAGTCCTGACATTTAAACACCAAATAAACCGAAACATAAAAAACAAGTCGTATAACCACCCCCAACAAAAACTAATGAACTTCATGTGAGCATCACGTTTAAAACTCGATTTTCTGAAATCACCCCGTAACACAGCAAACCACCGTTTTCAGGACTTCAGTTCTACAGTCTGCACCTTTGCCCACTTTATAACAGTTTCTGCTTCTGAATGAGTTATAAAACAACAAACAACAACCCATCTTAGATAGCCAATACGCATCGTCTAAAAAGCTATAACATGTACCAGACTCGTAATTTCCAAAGAAACTTGAATCATGCTTGAATAACAAATTTTACTTTTTATCCACTCTGCACTGTTCACATTGTAATTCTACAGCGCATATTTTCCAAACAGAAGTTGTAATTGACAACAATTCTACAACAACGAGATCCATCAAGTACCTGTCGCTTACTAATAAAGAAACAAATTCGCGTTTTTAAACTGACAATAAACGTTTGAGGTAAATTTATTGTGAAAATAAGAACTCAGCTCAATAACAAATTACTTCAAATCCAATGCTCATCAATCTTCACGATTAAAAAGAATAATCAGAAAGAAAGAACACTGTATTATTACCAAGTGACAATGGGAAACTGTTATTTAGACACAACTTGATATAACTAAGACAACAACTGTCATCATTTGAATAAATAGAAGGCATTCCAAGAAACACGACAAAAGCATTCAAGCAACTAAAAAGATCTATAAAAATTATTATCACTCTACAACAATAAAGCAATACCAGTCATTGCACACAGTATATTAGGAAATATTGGGAAAAAAATATTCAAAAAGTTTTTACAAGTAATCATGTAGACTATAAATACATACAGACCCGCTTTACTTGTTGAAAAATAAGACAAATTCTCTGACCTTAGGGCAAGCAAAATAGCGTTGATTCCAAAAGAACTAATTAGAAAGCAACTATTCTACCGGCTTTTTGGTAAATCATACTGTCTCACAGACGAAAATGAGCAGCCAGGTAAACAAAGATAAATATGAACTTAAAAGTAAAGCAATAAACCAAAAAATATTTAACTTTAACTTAAAAGCAAAATAAACGACAGAAAAGACAAAAAGGAATACAATTCCCAACAAAATACTTTTTTTAAATGCATAACGATGACATGCGTAAAAGTTATAAGTAATACTTTGAGAAGACTTTTAGAGAAACTTTTAAACAACATTCACAATCAAAAAAAAAACTTATTTAACTCACTGAAACTCCCATTGATTAAGGAATGACGCAGTGTCGCCACCTACAAATGAAAATGAATTGAAAACTTAAAAAACTGTGGAAACTGCAAAAGTTGTAAGCGAAAAAAACTGTTGTATCAAATAGACCGTAAGAAAGAGCTACGTAAAACAACCAGCGTTCTGCGGAATCCACCAACCCTCAGTGCCGAAACAAGACAGTTTTTAAAGAACTTTTGAAACGAGAAGCTTGCATTTATTGATGTCACTGAAAACTTACCCGCAGAAAAACGACTATTCAAAAATCCGAACCTTCCCCATCATCCGTTTAAGCTAGGTTATGCAATATGTCGCCCGATAATAAAAATAAAGTTACCTATTGCAGTTTTGAAAGCTTGGAAATCTGCGGCTTGCGAAATACTTTCATCAAAATCGTTTACGAATTTAGAGCACTTCTCCATGATAGACAAGAAATTCTTTTGTATGTACTCACTGCGGCCAACTGCATCACACTTTAAAATTCATATTAAGTGAATGGTATTAAAAATGGTGGTTAAGAAATGTGAGAAAAGCTTTTAAGCTAAATTGATCGATACAAACTACTTTGTAAAATCTAAAATCAAGTCAAAGGTACTTTTACGTCAAATCTACATAAAGCCAAAAAAGAAACAGGCTTACAGCTAGCACTTCATTCTGAAACCTGTCGATGACGATCCATGCTAATAATTCTGACTTTGCGATACTAAAGAGCCGCGAAAATTCTGACTGAATTCGTTGAAGAAAAGTCCCCTTATTTGCGTTCCATTCCTCAGTTTTATTTGTTATTAAAGTAACGCAAAGAGAGTGGATGAGATTTTGACCGGAAGCTATTACTGAATCGGGAGAGCATCTTCTCAAATAAAACCCAAGTAATAGCAGAACACAAAGGTATTGCATGTTCGATTCCCGGCCACCTCCGTGACTAATTTCAGAGAATGAACGAAATTTCACAAATTTCTCAATGATTAAGGAAATATCTACGAGCAAAGTGTTGACTGAAACTGCTTCACATCCGACGGCAGCGACCAAATCATTAGAGAGTCTAAAGTGGAAGAATTAGAACAGATGAAAACGTTGCTCTCTGAAGTCAAATTGCACAAAAGTGGAATGACGAAAAGCTTTTAAAGACTCCAATACCTCTGCACAGCCACTTCCATGTCAGAATCCTTCACTTTCTCTGACCAAACAGGAACCATAACATTACATCTCGTGTTTGCGTTATGTAAAGAAGCGCTAGCCCACTCATCTCGAGAAGTAGCCATGCTGAATTTTAAAGTCATAGTGAAATTTGAAATTTCTACTTCTTATTACCCTAAGAGTAAAGCACTACTTTTGCAAACAAATAACAAAGAGAAAAAAATTTGTGTAACGGAGTCGAAAAAAAAAGGTTAGAAAACTGGTCAAACAAATAAATCTGTTTTAGCACGCAACATCTGCACCTCCTTTTCTAGATATGTATCACCAGATAAAAAAAAATTAACCGAACAGCTGTTGTGTGACAGTCCAAATGAACGAAATTCAATTGCGAAACTGTAGAAAAGGTGAACTGTCTTCCATCGAGTGGGGTTTCAAGATAATGTCGGCTCGCGAATGCATAAACCTAAAGAATCTACCAGCAAATTTTGGAAAACTTTTTAGGATAACCATGTAAATGTATATAAAGTAAAATAGCACGTTTCAGACCTCAATAAAACTCTTAAACTGAAAACACATATTCAATCAAAAATGATAAATTAATAGAAAAAAAAAGGAGCAAATTGTCTTGACTATAAACAAACCGTCATTGTTTTTTCTGTGGCATATATATGTTCCCTACAAATGCAACAACTACCAGTAGCATCAATAATAACTGTCTGGGGTACTTCTGGAACACGACGAGATAACACCTGCAAAACAAATTGAAGTTTAAATAAATCTATCAAATTTACTTCTCTAACAAAATGAGTATTCAGGAGTACTTCTTACTTTAACTTGACCGCTCTCATCTAGTTTCATACCAAGTTTTGAAAGTTGCTTCTGACGCATAGCCATTGCCATTTGTTTCTTTTTACTTTTCGTCTCCTCTCTAACGTTCAATATCTAAAACTCAAAAAATCAAACTTTTCAGTGACCATGATATGTACTGCAAATAACGTTCTCAGAAAAAGATGAGAAGTAGACATAAAGAAACTAACGTGGAATCTATAACAAGCTAAGAGCTGAGAGTGTCTCTAATTCACTACGGCACTCAGAGTTACAACAGTGAAGTAACAAACCTGTTTTGCAACCTTTTTGTTCTGCATCAATTCCTCCATAACATTTTCAGCCAATGTCCCAATATGCTGATTCGAAGAGACTTGCTCCAAACGGTGTAAAATTGGTAACAAAGTCTCTCCAATTGCCTCCTGTATTATGACAGATGAAATTGACAATGCAGTCTTTTTAAAGGTAAGAGAACCCACAACTACTTGCTTAAGGAACTAGATTGTTTAGATACCTGAGCAACTTCATGATTTTTTGCCATACCGGCCAATAGCTTCAAGACATATTTAAGCGAAGGCCTTCCGAGAAATTGCACCCACTGTTGTCCCTCGACAGAAATATTGAACAGTGGTGGATGATTTGAAAGCAAATACTCACATGCTGACCGAATCAAACCACTTTCAATTAATTTATCTTTCAGTAGCCGCCCAGAAGCAGAAGCGTGAATGGAACCAGTTATTGAACACAATGTATCCAGTTTCTTCACATCATCTTCGGGAAGTTTTGAGTTCACAAAATTTTTGTCTTAAAAAAATTTAGAAAGAGATAGGAGTCTTGACGCAAAACTAACTAAACAAAATATCAGTAATTATAAAAATATTCCGAATATGCCGCTGTTGAAGCCGCATCGAGTCCTATTAGGCTATTCTATTGAGAACAAATTTTAGCAAACTCGTTAAATACTAAAAGTTCTCCCGTCAAAGTAAAGTCAATAAAATTAACAAATATTACACTTGAAAAAAAAAGAAAAACTAACCAATATCAGCCCAATGACAAGAAGTTTTGAAGGTTTCAGTTAAAGCATCCATACTTTCAGTGTTACCCACGCAGAGATTGGGAACGATTGAAGTTACAGCTTCCCATAACGGTTCAGTAAGGTCCGACTTAGTACTCATAGACAGTTCAAGAAGCCAGGACATTTGTTCAAAAGTAGCTCCATCAGCAGACTTAAATGACTATTTTGAATATAAAGTAAAGAACAAACCTAATCAACTGCAAGATTTATGAAACTTAACGCTTTTAAATTCTTACAACAAACCTATAACTACACAAAAATAATCTTCAGTTTAGTTGCATTTCAACAAATTTATACGAAGGAAGAACCATCTCACTTTTGTGCACTGGTCTTTGGCAAGCAAGTGTACGAGCAGCACATTAGCAAGCTCTAAATATTGTAAGGCTATTGTATTGAGAAACTGATCCTTCACTCCGCTTCGTTGGATCAACTCAAAGACGTGCAATAAACGGCGAATAGCACCACATTCAATAAGTACATCCCGGTTGCTTTCAACCTTAAACCTGCATACTAGCACAGCCAAACAAACACATAAGCTTGCATCAAATAACACGGAAGTAAAATTTTACGAGACGTTAGAGATTGAAAAGAACAATGTGTAGTGAAAATAATGTTAAATGTTGTATAAGGCTAAAAAGGTAAATAGCAAAGTTAAAAAGAATTCAACACATAACATAAGAAGTAATTAACTATTCCAACTCGCTAAAAAAAGATGATCCAATTATTTTCCCATCTGTAACAAATGTAAAATACCAAAAAAATTTTTTTTCATAATTTGCTGCCAAAAATAAAAAAAGATTTAAAATGCTGCATATTCTTGCTCTTGTACATTTGATAAGGTTATGAAGGAAAAAATACCTTTACGCAAAGAGCAAGAAGCATCTGTAATTCCTTTAGTAAGCATTTGCCATTACCAGTAAGCTCAATGCAGTCTAAAACAGCTGTCATTGCTGCCAAACCTCCATCGACCTTCCCTAACGACTTGGCTAAACGAAGTATCTGTTTCGATTCCTCCAGATTCTTACCTGAATGTTTACAGTTGCTTGTGATCTGAAGGCAGTAATGTATCAGCGACTAAGCTTTAAATTTAAAAAAGAAACGAAACTCATTCCAGCTTTACCTTTCGTCAAACAGTATTAACTTAAAGACTTTACTTGAAGCATCCCCAATTGTCTTCACAAATGGCTCAGTAGCATCGCCTAAAAGACCTCGCATACGGTATACAACGGAGAGTGGCTGATCGGGATGCTGCTTCCTCCACATTTTTTCATACACATCTGCTACAGGCAAATCCAAAGAAATAATTTTTTGGTCGACCAACAGCTGAAATTCAACGACTTAAATACATGCAAATAAAAATTTACTGGTTACTTAAAGCTCCTCTTTTCAGTAAGCCAAACGTAATTCAAGACTCAGAAAAATTGGGACAAATATAAGACAAACAAAGCACAGAAAATGTTTAGCTACAACCAAAAGCAACAACCAAATATTATTCAAGTGTAATAAAAGAAATAATGATATCTCAGTTGCTACCCTAACTAACCTCCATGCTATTTTCATCATCAAGTAAGGCAATAAGCTCGCAGTCTCTGCAGATTTTCCTTTTGATATCTCGCATCAACGGCCCCATACCTGGGTCACTACTCTTGTAAGGATTACCCATCATTCTACCTTGCAAGTAGTCTTCTTGCAAGGGATCTTTTTCAATATGAATTGAGAAGTCTTCCTCTTTCTGCAGTAGCAATACTATGAATTATTTCTACATATACTATGAGAAAAGGTAATTGCGTAAGTGAAGCTAAGTAATGTTGTTAATATTAAAATTTGAACCTCCTGCATCGGCTGCACTATATTTTGGATCAGATGCAACAAATAAGCTTGCACGCGTAAATTCTTCTTATGCACCATCACACGGTTTAACAAATAATGCAGTACGCGTACAGGTCTCTTCATAGCAATACGCAATATAAAGATATCAAGCTCAGTAGCTGCCATAGTAATGTACCTGTAGATCAGACAAGTAAGTCAAAAACAAAGGAAAACCTGGAATTGCACAAAAAGTTGAAATTGAAATCGTTTAAGACAGACGAGGTTTCAAAACAGCAACCTGGATTGATTTACCACTATACAACAAAGCATCGAAGCAGCTCGCAGTAAATAAGGAAGTAATTGATCCGAATAGCATGTTAATAAGTCCCATCCAATTTCATCGGTTTTGAAAACGTAGTTCAACAGCTCTGAAGCAACTTACAGGTGGAATAAAGCAAAAAAAGATCAGGCATTGATAAAATTTAAATTTCCAGTTATGAAAAGCTTACGTATATAATAAAATGACAGTTGTCCAAAAGACAAATCAGCCGTTGAACCACTAAGTTCTGCTAGATAGTCCTTCATACATACCTGTATAAAAACAAATAATATACTAATGATATTTTCTAAAACCTTTAAAAATTCAGATATATAGCTGTTCGAAGAATGCACAAAAAAATTAAAAGAAACCTACAATGAGAAACATTTTGGCAAATTCGAGCTGTAAATAAAAAGGTTTTGATAACAGTGTTGAACTTATTTCTCTTATTGAAAATAAAGTTTTTAGGAGGAAGAAGTATTCTGCTAATCGACTACAATCAATCTGATCTAAGTCCCGTAACCAGTTTAGAGACCTAAAATATCAAAAATCTTTACTGAAAAAATCTACAAATACTAAAACGAACATTACCAACGATTAAAAAATACTAGCCTTATTAAATTGAAATTAATAAAACTAGATTAACATCTAAAAAATTACCAAATAGCACAGAAGAGCATAGAAGAAACTTACATGTGTATGACATGAGCGCAATCAACGGGGGATCCTAGTTCATAAGTCCCATCTCTATTGGCAAAATAGCACATTGCAGTAAGTAATTGGCAAGTGGCATATCGGGTAGTTGCAAAAGGTGAGAAAATGCATTTCTTCAACCACTTTTTTATAATCTGCAAAAGTTCCGATTATCAGGAGCAATTATGCAAATTTCTACAAACCTTCCCAGCATTGACGAAAAATAACAGGTTTTAGCTGGGATTTTAATACGCCTTAAATCACCTTAACAAGAAAAGAACGCGAGCAAAAAATTGAAATCAATGACGAATAAGCAGATAAAAATAAAACATTTTTATTCGGCGCTTCCTCCAAACAGCACTTTGCTAGATATTCAATAGCGCTCGTCCCTGCGTTCGCAGTAGGATCAGAGTTAAGTAATTCCGTATAACGAACCCATGAAAAACTAAAGACAAACGAGTATTAAATGCTGCACGTGCAAAAGCTGATTTAGTACAGGTGTTCAAAGTGGAAACCTTCCATCAATCCAAGACCGAGTTGGAAAACATTCACTGCTTAAAACTCCCGATGAAAACGTATCGACTGCATAACCAGAAACTATTTTTGAGAGCGAAGAAGTAAATGAAGACGGAACATTTAAATCCTAAACATCCACTCTTTAGACGGAAGTGTTTATATAAACATTTGCGACATACAAAAAGCCCAATAAATAATGCACCGCAAAATAATAAACTGTTAGAATTTTGCTAGAGAAATAATTATTTACAGCAAGAAGCTTTCACCTATGTTAACGAAAAAATTATACAGTCACAGATTCAGAAGGAAAAAATACCTGTCTGTTTTCTGTATCCTGCCCAACCGCTTCTTCAGCATTTAATTCCGGAAGCGTAACTGAGCTTGACCCTGCAGATGCCGTACTGTCGTCGTCTGCAGTAGTGGTATCTGGCACTGAAGAAAGAAATGAGAGATTATTTAAAAATTTCATCATTAAAGGCATGAAAATTACCAGAAGATTCACGATTCTTTTCATAATCCTCTCCATGGGAAAAAACATTAGGAGAACAGAGCTTTCGCAGCACAGTGACAGCATGCAGATCAACCTCACCATCACCATCGCTAAAAACTGCGGTACGAACTAAACATTTCAGTTTCTGCTCCCAAAATCTAAAACTTTCCAATTAATCGGTAAAAGAACACCTGTGAAAAGCGAAAGAAAAGCAGTTCAAGTGAAGAGAATAACCTGAAATTGCCCTGCATGATAGATTTCGCTAAAAGATATGAAGGCAGCGCTCCACGCCTTGCTAGTTCGCACATTTTTGCAGTAGCCTCTTCACTGACTTCTGCTAAGTTCCATATGAATTCATGAACAGAACTGCCAACCAACCCACCCAAACTAGACATCATAACCTATAATTACAAATATCCTTTCACACTTGTTAATTCCCAAAATCACTCGTTGCAAATGCATATAAGCGAGAAACAGTGACAAAGCATACCAGCCGATCAAATAAAAAGTTCCCATTGATTATTTCTTCCATAATGGTTTTCTCAACACAAAGTGACTGCAGAAGAGTCACACAATGAATAACCAAAGCTTGAGTGCAGGTTAAGCATTTACTCCTATAAAAAACACTCCAAAACAATCACGAAACTTAAAGTTTCGAAAAGCAGTAAACCATAGGAAACTGCAAAATCTAGCTTAGCTAACTTATAAGACCGTGCCATTTCATAAAACTCATCAGCAGCAAAAGCAGAAGTGCATACGCAGTTGAATAAAATTCATAAGCAACAGGACTGTCGCAAAGCTTTTCATCTCCATTCCTAACATCATACTTATACAACTCATTCCGCATAGCCAGCAAGTGAACCAGCATCCCAACTAATGTAGTGTGATGTGCCTCGGCACATCGATAAAGTGTATTAGCCACCGCGCCTTCTGCCTGAAAAGAAATCCAACCGTTATTTCAATGCACTCTAAAACTGAAAGAAAAAGTTTGTAGCCTAATAATTTATTTTTTGGGAGTGAAACATTTGGAAGTGGCCCTGTACCTGAAATGTTAGCATCTTTTATAAACGCTCTGATGAAAAAAATAAAGAAAAAACCACTTGCTATATCTTAGAACTACAGCTTGAAGACAAGCAAAATAAAGTTTAAACAACCTCATCAATGTTCAATCCAGCGAGAAATTTATCGAAAGACTGCACATTGACATGTTGGAGCAGAACGTTGGGACGCATTTCTTGTTCAGCAGCACAAGCGCAACTCTCGATTAAAGAACGCAAAATGGTTAACTCACGCCTTTCAGTTTCAATATCTGCTAGCAGCTCTTTCATTTCTGATTGCATCTAAAACTTTCCATATATATAAATGACGTTTTAAAAGTCAGATTACAAAAACTATAGCTTTATAATATACTCTATCCTTACAGCTTTTCGACTTTCATCATCCTCTATGTGTTGAACAGATGGCAACGGACGACATATAATAGATGATTCTAACCTGGCATACTTGCAGAAGCCACAAGAACTACATAGAAAAGGATCCTAAAAGTGATTTGAGACATAGGAAAAATTCGTGTAATTCAGTTAAAAAAATTTTTTTGATCTAGTTAAGAAATCTATCAAATGATCAAAACAGAAAGCACTTGAGGCAACTATTATACAGAAGCGCAGAACGGCCAATGAAACTAAGCTCTGATAAACAAACTCAAATTTTTTTTATTTCGAGCGCACTTCCCCTAACAAAAATTAAGGAACGAAACTGAAATGAAAATTGCAAAATAAGAAATTGGAAATTGCAGCCCTAACAACTGCTGCGAAAGACAAAATTTCAAAGCTTAATTTTTCCTGATCGCTATGCTGCGAAAAATACGCTAAAAAAGTAAACTAAAGGGTGAAGTATCTACTTTTCCTTTAGCTGCAAAAATCCTTATAAGGAATTTATTTCAAAATCAACAAGCAGCATAAATACTTTACAAATTCAAGCCGAAAAATTTGTAAATCTCACAAAATACTTGATATCCGCTACAAAAAAGTGAAATTTTAACAAACCCTTTCGTCATAATTGATTGCTCTGCATTTCACACACTGGAAAACATTTTCGCTGCAGTTTGGGCAAATACCTGGGTTCGGTGGTACCGCAGCTGAACAGCGAGGACAATGAACCATTTCCGGTGCAGCGTTCAAAGATGAGCCAGTTCCTTCGTGAAACTCGGTGATTTCAAGGATGATATTCCATGTCTGTACAGGGATTGGTAAGGCCAAAGTGATTTCAGACTCCATAGGTGCAACCTTTCAAAACAGAGTAGCATTAGTCTCCCAGTCGGTTTAATAGTAGAATAAGTATTAAATTAATGGTAAGCGTTTTTCTGATACTTTACCTTTCAATTTAGAAGTTATTTTCTGAGGCCAAATAAAAAGGCCTACTCAGGAAGTTTCGAACTCTTTCATCAAAAGCTAATGTAGAGCATGTTACCAAGGAAAAGTACCTCAACATCGGCCGCTTCCTCCCATAAATCTGGGCGATTTTTAAGCTCAACAGCGGATTCCAAATTCTTATTGCAGTAGTACAATTTCATTCGTTTGATCATTTTGGACCGTTTTATATCCGTAAGACGATTAACAACACTGACAATCTAAAAAAAGCTTTTTTAGGACAAGCCCCTAGAGATCTCAGTGTAACTTGCGTTCAAAACTACAGGTTGAAAAAGAAAGTGAAAAAATTACCACAATAGATATTAATCAAGTTTCTGAGCAATAAATCAAAAAATTTCATAACAAGTTTACTGATTATCTGCCATCTCTCACCTTTGGTCTAATTAAAGTTCCAAAATAGCCCACCTCAAACTGGCTCATTAATTTGATCATTTGAGCTGATGTGGTAAAGCGAGAATCCAATTTTATGGCAGACAATTTAAGTGACACCAATGGCTCCGGTTGATAAGTGCATATAAAACATGGATTTTCACGCAGTACAGAAATATCTGTAAAGAAGACGTCCTCATAAAATGAAATAAGAAAAAGGTAATATTATCTCAAAAGACGACAAAAGTTCAAAAAAAGGAAGAGGTTTTAATCTCATTTACATTCCTAGGTAGAATAAATGTAAAAACTAGTAACCAAAGGTTCCAGCAAGCTTCTGAAAAAGAATGTTATCGCTGCTTGATTGAAGAAAGTCTAACGACTTGCTAATCAGAGAAAGGATGTCCCCATAAACCTTCATAATCTCCTCCCTGAAAACGGTACGCTAATAGTTGTTAAGTCTTTAGATCTCTAGGATACTATTGAAAAGAATTAACGCAAAACTTTTAACTAAATCAAAACAAATAAAATCCTCCAGTGTTAGATTACTTCGTGTAAAAACGAGGAATGTAAGTAGCAAGAAGGTCAGCGAGTTGTGCCGCACGAGGTCCCATAAAATGAGCAAACGGCCACACATCGTTATAAAGATAATTTAGCAACACCAACTGCCATGACCTAGAAGCCAACTGCAATACTGACCGAAGTAATGCATGAAGCGTAAATCGTCTTTCTTCGTTTTCTCCCATCAGGTACCTTAAAAATAACTTTATTTGCATAAAACCAGAAATAGTTGAAGAAAAAATCTCTAATTTTCATCAACTTCTAACACCCCCTTAAAGCTGAAGAAACCCAAAACTGTTCCGCAAGTCCCAATACCTACCCTTCATCTAACTAGAAAACAAAATTAATTTTTAAAGCCAGCAAAGTGAATCAAATTCGTAACAGTCTTCAACTTCTTAATCGCCAACTTCCAAGGATATCTCGACAAGTTCCAACTTCCGCTATCAAAATAAGAATCAACAATCAATTTCTGTGAGCCATACCGGTAACCAATGTAATTAAGATTAAAATATCTTTAATCAAAACTACCTATTGATCAATCGTTTCAAGAGTAAATAACTTTTCTGCTTTGAGAATATTGAGTTTGCTATTTCACAGCATACGAGGTCATGACAGTCATCGTTAGAGGCACGTAAGGCAAGAAGAATCAGGTTTAAGACAGTATCGCTAACGCAGTCAGGAATAAAAGTTGCCAATTTTAGCAGCCATGGCATCTAAAAAGAAAGAATAACTCTATAGAGAGGAGACTAATGGTTCAAGTAGAAATTTTCTTAAATTGTTATGCAACTGAAGATTTCTGAAATCAATGAGCCAAATGCAAAAACTAGCAAAATAGACATTCAAAAATAACAGGTTTTCGTGAAAAGTAATTAAAAAGGCACAAACCTCCACCAGGCAAACTCCTTGCCAAACACTGCGTTGTTTACGAGAAAGTTCAGCAATACTTTGCAAAATTTCTTGGGCTTTACACAGTTTTAAATACTCAATACTGTAACTGTCATCTGGAATAAGTGCTTTTATCCGCGTCACCATGCCTTGTATCTTATAAGCATTTCTTATTTTGCAGTAAAGGACCTGAAAATTTCTTTACAAAATAAGCAAAATGATCATAATAAATCCAGAAGAAAGAGGAACACAAGCAAACAAAAGTTTCGTATAGCAAGTGTTCAATCTGATCAGTTCCTCTGAAAGATAAAATTCAAAAATATATAAAAGTTCAAAGATAACGTCCAGTTAAAGAACTGCGATACTGAATGGTCAAGAAGCTATAAAAGTAATGAGGCTTTGGAAGTTCAATCTATCACTAGACTGGTTTACAAAGATTCGCCGATTGAGAAGTTTTAACTTTCAAAACCTCTTAATTGAGATGTTTGGTTAAAAAGTGGTTTTTAAAACACCAACGAAAATACTGTTGTCAGTGTCGTTTTTTCACTCATCTCGGTACTCTTCTAAATTTTTCCTTTAAAGTTTTAAAAATCTCTCTATATGCGAAGCAAAAACAAGATTTTCTAGCGTGTTCCATTCAATTTAGAAAAAGGAAGAATTACAGATGTTGTAACCATTAAAGCAAATCAGTGTTCGGAATCTCCTTTGCAAAAATAATGCATTTACAACCAATGCTTATAAAATTTACGAATGGGAATACCCGTAAAAAGTAAGTATCTATGCATAGTCCATCTCATCGAAAAATAGAACAGTCGCTGAAACTATTCAGAAAGAGCCACCGACAGCATAGTTCCAGAAACTGTTGCTCTGAATCAACCATTAAGCCAGCAAATGAGTACAATGTGAGCTAGAACAATCGGAACTTCATGAGCTCACCAACACGTTACAGACCACAAGTGTTCACCACTGCAGAGGTTTTCTGAGCAGTTCGAAACTAATCCGTCTCAAAACTGAATCGTTGCTTACAGTACAGAATAAGCGCCGTATGATAATCACAAAACAGTGGATAG